TGGTCCTCAATTGCCTGAAAAAAATATCTGAAGTTTGGATTTTGACTTAAATCTACAATGCAGGTTCTCCTACCTGTGAATCTTTTTAAAATATTTAGAAAAAAATGAGCTGGTTAATTTATGAGATTCACAGTCTGTGACAGTGACTGATGGACTCTGATGTCTTCTAAGCATCTTTGTTGCAGAGGTACAGAAGACAGAAATTAATTAAAAATGAATGGAATGGGAAACAACATAGATTATGATGATCGTTCAGTATAAATTAGGCAAGTTTCTAAGAAAATGGCAATAAGTAGTATTATATGAAGAGATACTGTTCCAAGTTCGATCTGTCAATTTTTTTTACTCAAGAGTAAGAAAGGAGAAATACATGCCTGGTATTTTATACTGTATATGTTTTAATACTCACTTGGTATTTTATGCCAGCTTTTAACTCACTACCTGCTCTAATGCTTGGCTGAGATTTACAGAGTCCTGATGAAATTTATTGTTCTGAATCTCAAATAAAATATTTGCTACTTATAATCTCTATAGACTTTGTCATTATCCTCTAAAATAACAAAGGACTGTGGACATAAGCAATTTAGAAGTGTGAATAATATTTCCCCCTTATGATTTTTTGTTTTTATAAGGATGCTCAGAAAAAGCTAGTATTATATATTAGATTGAAATGTTTGTGTTTTCTAAAAGTCTTTAAAGCTTTAATTAAGAACTTAGTTGTCTCTTATATATGGCAAATGCATTAGTGGTTGAGTTAAAAACAGTACCACAAAAACTTACTTTGAAATGCATTGCAATTATTTAATCTGTTTTCCCACAGCCCTAAAATGAAATTGCTTTAGTATTCTGTTGTATTTATATAATAAGGTTTTTATGTAAATTTTAATAGACTTTTTTTTCAAGCTGTCTACTTCTACACATTCAAGTACAAGCTATCAGTGGCTGATACATGCACTTCCAATAAATAAAGCATTGTCCCTCATGACCCTGATATAGAAAATAGTAGGGTAGGGAATGAAATGGGATGAAACATGCTAATCACCTCTTCTCACGTTTAATTAAGGGACATGACGTTATGGCTTCGGACGTTCCTTCCCATAGTAAAATGGAGTCAGCTAGCAATTGCATTTCTCCTTCCTTGCAGCTTCTCAACTAATTTATTCCTAAAAAACATTCTGGAATAAATTTGAAAGGGGCATACAAAGAGAATGTGAGAGTTAAAGACTTGTGTGAATGAAAGTCTGCTTATCTAACATGGGATTCCAACCCATATTTTATACTCCCAAAGTTTTTTTCTCTCCTATTGAGTGAAAATTCTTTACAGCCTATCACCTTACTGATATAATATCATGGCAAGATGAAAAAAGTAAACAAATATATTTCATTTTAATATTTTTTTATGAGCAGAGTCCTAATAACTTCTAGTAGTCCTCAAAAGTTGTACAAAATGTATTACGCTTATGGAAGACTAAAGTTATATCCCTCTTTTATTATTTTTATAAACAACGCAAGGTGGCAAATATAATATATCTAATACTCCTTCCTCCTCCTATTTTCCCCACAACAGCAATCCTATGAGGTGGATTGGGATGAGAGAGAGTGACTGGCCCAAAGTCACCCAGCAAGTTTTCATTGCTAAAGTGAGATTTGAACTCACGGTCTCCCAGTTTCTAGACTGATGCCTTAACCCAGGGGTCTTCAAACTTGGCCCTTTTATGACTTGTGGACTTCAACTCACAGAATTGCTCAGCCAGCGTACCTGGCTGAGGAATTCTGGGAGTTGAAGTCCACAAGTCATAAAAGGGTCAAGTTTGAAGACCCCTGCCTTAACCACTAGACCAAGCTGGGTCTCATTTTTTAAAATTTGCTTATTAAATTATATTTCTGTTTAACATTAAGAGGTTAATAATTTTCAGTCAATACCGTACAAATATCATTGTATCAAAAATATAATCCAGTTCATATTGTTTTCTATTTTGTAAATGTTGCTGTAATTGTACTGGATTATATTTTTGATACAATGATATTTGTACGGTATTGACTGAAAATTATTAACCTCTTAATGTTTAGATAACAGACTGTTGAGGATAAAAAGAGCATCAGGTAACATGTAAGCTATTGATTCCTAAATGATAGCATTCATTCCCTGCACATATATTTTCAAACATACAGTATTTACAATTGGGGAAGAAAAAAAAAGAAACTTTTAGTAAAGAAAACTCATTGTTTTAGAATTGCCTATCAGTAAATGTACTTTCAAAGCTGATTAGGAGGCTAAAAACTCATCTGATGAATAAAATATATAAAACAATATGAACATAAATTCTGTGTTAATAAATATGTTACTACAGTTTGATATCCACAATATCTGAATCTGTTGACCTTCAGGAAATCCCTTAAAACATGGATGCTCCAGCAGTTTTAAGGATCCCATGGAAATACAGTAGGGAGCTCATAAGGTGGTTAAACTGTGCGTGGGAGGATGGTCCATACTACCACAACATGTCTTATATTTGTGTTTAGTGGTTTTTAAATTGTTGTTTTAGGCTTTTTAAAAACTACCCCTACCCAATTCCATATTTGTAAGGTGAGTGGCTAAATAAATTTGATAAATAAATAACATAAATAGAACATTTTTATGGATATTTGGTCACATTCCACTTTATCGAACCCGCGTCTACTAAAATCATTTAATAACTGAAATGCAACAAGAGTGTTTCTCTACGTGACCATGTAACATAAGAGATATCAAACTTTGATCATACAGGAATTATTTTCTTCTACAGATAAAGTGACCAGGACAGGAATACTTTCTCTGACCAGTAATATCCTCCATTCATTGAAGAAGTCCCTCTAAAATTTATCATCAAGTTATCAATTTATTATGTTGAGCAAGTTAGCCACATTAATATAGGTGTTTAACATTCTCAGAAGAGCAGTAGCATCTGTTGAATCGTAATGACACTCAAGTAATGCCTGTACATTAATTTAAAAGTGGATTCTTTGAACTGAACGAGCATACTGCTTGTAACACAGAGTATCCCATTAAGAATCTGAAGTAAGTATAAAGAAGTCTAATTCCTAAATTGATTTTGAAGCTGATTTTCCAAATTAGACATTTAATAATCAGCCATAGATAACTAGAGAGCCAGTTTAGTCTAGTGGTTAAAGCAATGGGCTGAAAAACAGGAGACTATGAGTTCGAGTCCTGCCTTAGCCAGGAAAACCAGCTGGGTGATCCTGGGCCAGTCAGTCTCAGCCCAACTCAACTCACAAAGTTGTTGTTGTGGGGAAAATAGGAAGAGGAAGGTGGGGATACATTCACCTTGTTGAATTATTTATAAAAAATAATAGAGTTGGGATTAAAAAAAAGTTTGGTGCCTTGAATTATTTGTGAAAATAATAAAAGCAGGAAATAAATCAAATTAAATAACTGATACAAAGTCATACATGGGCAGTTCATGGGCATACCATATTCCTAATTGCTTTGTAGCATTTGTCACTAACCATGAATGAGTAATGAGACAGTTCGCCAACAAAACTACATATTCTGCTACCTAGATTACAGCACATTTTATGTCATACTTAATCATACCTCAGATCCTAAAAAATCCTCTGTGTTTCTATTGTCCATGGTGTTTATGTTTTGTAGGTGTTGAAAATTCATGCTGGTTTGAAAGGGGAGTCAGGGAGAAAAGAGGGATGCTAGAATTATTTTCCAAGAATATGTGGTTATTATTTTTTAAAAAATGAAATAGCATGCCATTTATCCATACGGACCTCTAACATATTTGTTCTCTCTATTATATAGCATGTTTTGCATAGCTTTGTATTCAGATTTAGGGATCTTGTCTTCCATGTTATTCACATTTTGAAAATTATTTGAAAGGAAAAGAGACACTGTTTTCATCATTCAGTTCATTATGGCAAGAGAATTTTTCTTCAAGCCTGAAAAAATACAGACACACTTAAATGAATATTGGACAGAGTTGTTCTCCAATCTCCAAAGCATGTCTTATAAATAATTTTCGAAGCATGCACAATACTTCATGTCTAGCATGCTGTTGATGCAGATCAAAATTCTTGCATAATGATTAATAACAGAAGAAATCTGTCTCACAAAATGGAAGTCCTTCATGGAATCATAGAATTGGAAAGGACGTCAGAAGTCATTCAGCTCCATATTGGACTCAGTGTGGAATCTGCTAAGAAAAGGGAACATAATACTTTATGAATAGGCAATCTGCAAGAATTCCAATATAGATCTTGAATCTAATTCCCCATAATATTAGCCCCCTGATTCTGGTCCTACCTTGTTGGGAAACAGATTGAAATAGCTTTAGATATCTGAAGACTGCTATCATTGCTCCTCAATCTTCTTGTCTGTCCAGCTAAACATATGACATTTGTTCAACTTTTCTTCATTAGGCATCGTTTTTAGTCCCTCATCTTCTTGGGAGCATCTGATCCTTGGTAGCCCTCTGTCAGTAGTTATCAACCTTTGTGATCAAATTCTACTGCTCTCCTTCAAAGAATTGGAAAGTTGACTCTAGGATTGCTCATCAATCTTTTTTATGGAGCATTCCGGCCCAAGCACATCTAGAATGAGGCCAAGACTATAAAAACAGCTTACAATCTTCTTTTGTGTTGAAAGAGAAGTGGATTAACATGCTTTTGCTATACTTTGATACACGTAGCATGGTTTTAATGTTTATGCAGCATGATACTATAGTATAATCAATATTTAAACATATGTCTTTGGTAAGCACATATTTTAGAACTGACAGATATCTTTGTGTCTTTTAATGAAGAGAATTTTGGCAATTTCACAAATGCTTTTTGCTCTGCGTACCAAAGGCCCATAACAGGAGAATAATCTTTTGTTAAAAATGTGTTAATGTCTTCAGATATAAATGAATCTGTCATTTTTAATATTTATTTCAAACAGATAAGAACAGTGGCAGTCTTTTAATGGCTTTCTTGGATTGTTTCCCCTTCAGCCAATCCAACTTTAGTGAAGGAGAATGAAAACTGCATCTACTTTGCTGGACACTCTCTTGGTCTTCAGCCAAAGAAAATTAAAACTTACTTGGATGAAGAACTTGACAAGTGGGCTAAAGTGTGAGTAGGAGAATATTCTATTAAACACCCCCTTTTCTACTACTACCACAGTATCCTTCTAATAGAATATTACTTTAAAAGATCTGAATTATTTATTTATATCCCCCTTTTTATTATTCTAAATAACAAGATAGCAAGCACACACAATACTCTTTCCTCCTCCTATTTTCCTCACAACAACAACCCTGTGAGGTGAGTTGGGCTGAGAGAGAGAGTGACTAACCCAAAGTCACTCAGCTGTTTTTTTTCATGCCTGAGTTGGGACTAGAATTCACTGTCTCCTAGTTTCTAACCTGGTGACTTCACTATTAGAATATAGGAAAACAAAATAGTTACGGTAAGTTTTTTTACATAGCTTCCATTTGGTTAGATTATTTGAAGAGTACAATTAAAATTTTAATGACTGCAGTTTAAATAATGAGGCCCTATATAGGCTTACCCACTAGTTAGTTCTGAATGTGTTCAATTGGAATTACATTTATGCGAGTGAGTAACAGGACCTGTGTATCCTTAATCTGTTTTGTTATAGAAGTTAGGACTGTATTGTTGAACCTTTATCCTGGTTGTGTGATTCAAATCCTCATTTTATGTATTTTAGTCTCCAGACTTTATCATATGTTTTCGTAAAATATTGTTTGCTCTTTTAAAGAGCAATCCATACAGATTATATGATGTTGGTTTCTGGACTGTGTGTCTTGGCATTTGCTTTCTTAATCCTAGACTAACTTGAGTGGGGCAAGATCTTTGCAGCTATAGGCTTTTGTCAAGGCATGTAACTTCTGATTCTGAAATTTTAAAATTTAAGTTTTACAACACGAACCAGATTAGGTCTGAAGTTTTTGACTTATTCAGAATTTAGGAGAGTATCTCTACAGGGAAGTGTATAGTTTAATATTTGAAATATTGCTATTGTTGGTAGGATCTTTTTTCTATCCCGTACTGCCCAACTCCATTTGTTTATCCTATTTTTAAGAAACATCCCAAAAACAGCAGTAATTATTTTGCTATATCAAGTGCATTACATCATTACATTTTTCAATGTTCTAAAAGTGACTTTTCTTGATTGTTTAAAATTGTAAGACTGTTTTTATATGACCGTAAAATTACCAGAATGTTAAAATATTAAAATAAAAATATGTTCAAGTGGAACATTAAAATAAAAATATGTTCAAGTTGAAAATAAAACATTAAAAATCATACATATGTTGATCCTCAAGAATCCAAATTTATAAATGTGCTATATAGAAGTGTAGCAGTTCAAAATCAAACTTGAACACAAAAAAGATGAGGATTATTTTTTGCCTGGTTTGATTTTTTTTATTACCATTTTATGAAATTCACATCCATGAAAATATTCTTCAGTCTTTACACATTTGTAAAGTTGAGGATGGAGTTCTCTGTTTAAAAATGCATATAAAAATCTATACATTGTGGAAATACAAAAAAAGGGGAAAAGTTCTTACAGAGGTGAAATGTTCCGAAAAATGTCTAGAAAAATAAGTACACATTTCTGTGCATGTCAAAAGACATAATTTCTGTTTATACTTAAAAAGAAAAGGGACAAAAATTATGCTTGGAGCATAATTGGAGCAAAATTAGAGCTGAAAAACATAAATGTTAGAGGAAAAAATGATGAATCTATCTACTAATACCAAAATATGTTGTTTTACATTGTTCTTAGTAAATATACTGAGGAGATAATCCATATCCATTTCTTCAATTATCACAGTTCCAGAAATTTTATTTCTGCCTTTTATTCTGAGTAGAGGAACTTTGTAAGCTTAGTTTTTAATCCATTAATGAAGCTCTTAATTATTAAATTATATTAAGGCTACTATCTTGTACACATAGAAAAATAATTCTTACTGAACTCAGTGAAACTCAACTATTTTACTATAAGTTCGTTGGTCAATGACCAAAATAAAATGATTGACTGAGTACTATAAGTCTGAAAAATAATGCTTATGCAGTTTTTCTTTAAAACAGAAAATCAAAGTCAATAAAAGTGTCATGGCTCATTGTGGGGGAAAGGGCGAAGAAGAACATTTTAACTTTAAATCATATTCTTCTCTGTGCTCATCTAGCATAACTCTGCACTTTGCTAGCCACTTAAAAAATGCAGTCTTATCTATTTTTCTATGATTATCATAGAAGATCAAAGCAATTGCTGACTTCATCAAAGAGGTAAAAGTTAAATAGCTTGTTTCCTCCATTCATACGAGACCTGGAGAAGTAATATTTAATCTTCCATAACTTGCTATTTGATTAGTTCATTTTTACATGCATGAGTTGTGACAACAAAAGGATTTGAGGATGAAGAAAAACATATTTAACATTTGTCGAAGATCTCTATCTTAGAGCAGTTGTCCAAATGTGATTGACAATAATACAGGGTATTTGTGTTGGGAGTTGTGAAGGATGTGGAAACCATCACCTGAACTCTGTAGAATACTTTGTAGAATGTAGCCATACAATTCTGCCTGTGAGAAAGGTGTTAATCAAAAAATTACAAATCGAATAATCAAATGTAGCAAGCGGTCTTCACCACTGGCATGATTCATATGGAAGGCCCATGTACCTTTGTTGGACCCCTGTATTAATTTATTGTTGACAAATCTCATAGGTTTTGAAGTCCTTCTCTGAAATCTTGTGAGATTTTGAAATAAGAATGCCAAAATTTGACAAGATAAAGAAAAAGAGTATATTTGGAAAACCAAGAAAATAGGAAGAAGAAGAAAAAGAACAGATGGGAAGAACAGCACTGTACATGTGGAATTCCAAAAAAACCCCTCAAAGTAGGCTGAGATATCAAAAGTCAGGAGGATTCAGAATGAAAGCAAAGTCATGCATTTTTAGGCATTGGAGATAAGTGAAACTGAGCCTTTTAATGGATACTCAATACTTTCTTCCCCAATAACTTAATATCTATATTTCAGGTAGCAGTGGATTAATAAAAAAAAATATGACAAGAACAGAAATGACAACTTGTTAATGTCAAAATTTATGGGCGTCTTCAGGCATAGTACTGAGTTAAGTCAGGATGATGAGCTTTGTATTCCATTTCTTCAATTATCAGGATTCCAGAAACTCTACATTTATCTGTCTATGGAGAGTCTCAGTTATCCACATCATGGTTGTCCCAAAGGTGTTTTTTTCCCCAAAAAAAGCAACTGGACTTTGTTTTTCCTTGAAGATGTTTCGCTGAAGAAGCTTGTTGGATGAGCAACAAAACTTCAGGGAAAATGTTTGAAAAACACCTTTGGGACTCTATGTCTATCTTTTGTTTGCTTTAAATATAGCATCACTTCTGTGTTGTTGGCTGTTTGGCCCTTTAGAATGGAAGAAGAAATGAAAAACAAGTAATTTGTTCTTCAGAAATACGAAGATCATTAAAACAAGCACACGAAGAACAATTCCTCTACACTTTAAAAAAATGTACATGACTAGTACAACATACAGCCGAAAGACCGTTTGCAGACTGTCAAGCACCTCGCTGCAGCCCATCATTTATTTTTTTAAAGTGAATTTCAAGCTATTGCTGGTACCCCGAAAGACATGCTGCCAAGCATCTCAGCCTTGGCCACCATCTCTAGAACTTCTGCTTTTCTGCCAATCACAGAATAGCTTTTCAGCACTCTGGGTAATTCCTTACAGCTCATAATAATTTTTAATTTATCAGTGTGGCCCTTTTCCTCCGTCAAGTTATCCTGGGCTATATATTATTACCGTTATCTGGGGGGGGGGAAATCATTTATTTATTTATTATTAATTCAATTTATATCCCGCCCTTCTCCTTACCGGACTCAGGGCGGCTAACAGCCTTATAAAACAATGCAACAATAAATATCTAATTTAAAACCAAATTAAAAAGAAATATTTGTTATGGCCTATATAATTAAAATTTCTCTTAAAAAACCCCACTAAAATTCCCTAGGCCAATCCCGCTTGTTGGAAGAGCCATGTCTTTAGGGCGCGGCGGAAGGAGGGGAGATCCGGGATCACCCGGATCTCTGGGGGTAGTTCGTTCCAGAGGGTGGGGGCTCCCA